TCCCCGCGGCCTGTCGTCATCCAGGGCTGCGTCGCCTGCGTTGTTGTTTCTGTTTGCATTGCTATTCCGCGCCACATGTTCGCACTGTTCGCGCAGAGAGAGAGAGAGAGAGAGAGGGGGGGAGTGTGTGTGTGTGTGTGTGTGTGTATGTGTATGTGTTGGAGGGTGTCGTCGCGAGGCCCGGCAGGAGAGCACCGCCAGACGGCTGCGGCAGCGCTGCACCAAGTCACTTGGGTTGCGAGAGAGACGGAGCGACGAGCAGGTTGCGTGCGGTGTCGGGCTGTAAGGCAGTGTAGGCCCGCACGCGGCTCCCGCGTCGGCTAGGCGCACACACCACAGCCATCTCGCTCTCGTTGTTCTGCTGACCTTTGGCCTTGTCCAGCCCGCGCCACTCCGCCCCGCCTCCTTCCCTCGTCTTTTTTCGCGTTCGCGTGGTCGCGCTGTCTCTCTCGCACCCGTGGGGCGTTCCGCAGGGGGTGCGAGAGAGACGGCGACCAAAGCAAAAGCCCTGTTCGGAAGGGGCGTGCTGAGGACGCGCGACTGGCCGCGCTGGCCAGCCTTGTGATAACATTGTGATGCTCGCGGCGTGCCTGGCTGCCTGCCTGCATGGCTTTTGGCGGGGCAACCCGACTCCAGGCGATGCGCGTCGCGGTGCACTCCAGTGGGGACGCATACCGCGACGCCGCCACCAGGTTCGCAGTTCGCGCTGCCCGACGCTGACCGACGCACAGTGGGCCAGAAACCGGCGCAGGCGGCCAAAATTTGAGTTCCAGAAACGCTAAATGGGCCTCAAACCGAGCGTGTGACCCCACCAATGGATTCCTCGTTCGGAGAGCAATCCATTGGTCTCTAGGTGCCATGGCGGCCAGCAGGCTGATTCCTCCGAGCACTGCTCTCGTCGCTCTGTCTCTCTCGCACTCATGGGGCGTCCCGTAAGGGTGCGAGACAGACAGCCACAAAAGCAGTGCTCGGAATCAGCCTGCTGGCGGAGGTCTGGCTACGCCGCTGCTGCGACACTGTAGCCGCAGCAGCCGCCCGGCGGGTAGGCAGCACGGCACAGCGCGGGCGGGGCGGGGCGCGGCGGGGCGGGGGCAGAGGCTCCACTGGGCTGCGCTGCTCCGCTGCGCGCTGCGCCAAACAGGCGGCCAGTCTAGTGGGGAACGCCGAGATAACCGCGTAGTGCCGACCGAGACAGAGACAGGCAGCTCGTCGCGCGTCCCAAATCCGGCCGAGTAAGAAAAAGACAAGCCGATATCCGACCTGACAAGACGAAGACGCTAGGCTAGATAAGGCGCTTAATGACCACCATCAGGCTGCCGCGCGGTGCTGCAGCGCGGCAGCGCACAGTGGGCCAGAAGCCGGTGGAGCGGCCAAAACTCTAGACGCGTTTTGAGCTCCAGAGTCGCTAAATGGGACTCGAACCGAGCGTGTGACCCCACCAATGGATTGCTCCGAACGAGGAATCCATTGGTGGGGTCACACGTTCGGTTCGAGTCCCATTTAGCGACTCTGGAGCTCAAAACGCGTCTAGAGTTTTGGCCGCCTCCACCGGCTTCTGGCCCACTGTGCAGCGCCCACGGCCAGACGGCGCCGCCGCGGTTTGGTTCGAGTGGCTTTCGGAGTTGGAGGCGGAAGATCGGTTCGGTTCGGCCGGCCGGACGGACGGGCCGACGGAGGCAAAGTCCACTGCAAGTCGGAAGGATAGGACCTCGATTGTCGCCCAGTGTGTTTTGTTTTTGTTTGTGCGCGTGCCGGTTTGAACAGTGTGGCGGTAGCTCGAAAGTCGCGGGCGGAGGCGGATCGAACCTCCGGCGGCGGCGGCGTTCGACTCGCGTGCTGCGCGGTGCTGAGGGACCCAGCGCCCCGCCCGCCCCGGCCCGTCCACTTTGTAATAACCTAACAGATGGCTGTCGAGATGTTGTGCCTAATTTGTCTGTCAGAGTGTATCCGGCCGGGCGGGCCTCTGGGTCGCCTGAAGGCTGCCTCTGGGCTGCCGCCTCGCCGAATCGCCCCTCCACGGCCTCCGCCCTCCGGGCGCGCCGACGGCCCGGTCTGCCCGCCGAGGCCCTCGGCCCGAGGGCGCCGAGGAGGGCGAGAATAGCTTCATCCCCCACGGCGGCACCGCGGCCACGCCGAGCCACGCGGACTGGCGGCCGGATCACGTGATCCGTGTATTTGAGCGCAGCGCGATAACAGCGCCATATTTATTGCGATGCTACGCGCTACGCGCCGCACAGTGGATTTGCCAGAAGACCGGCGGAGGCGGCCAAAACTCTAGACGCGTTTTGAGCTCCAGAGCCGCAAAGCAGGACTCGAACCGAGCGTGTGACCCCACCAATGGATTGCTCTCCGAACGAGGAGTCCATTGGTGGGGTCACACGTTCAGTTCGAGTCCTATGTACCGACTTTGTAGCTCAAAACGCGTCTAGAATTTTGGCCGCCTCGGTCTTCTGACCCACTGTGCGTCGCCGGCCGGGTCGGACTTGGTCGCCCCGCCCCGCGTTGTCCATCTCGGCGGACTGCTTGAGGCTGCGGGGCACTGCGGGGCTGTGCACTGCAGGTGCGGGCCGCCTGGCGTAGTGGCGTTTGGTACTCGTCTGTTTGCGCACCCGTCTGTCTGTGTGCGTGCGCACGTGTGTGTCTGTGTCTGTGCAAATCAAATAGTCGCGCGTGTTTGCCTGAAGCGGGCTGTTCAAGGTCTCGTACTTGGTGTTGTGCCCTGCCCGCCCTGCCCGCCCTGCTCGCGGTTGCGGTGTTCGGCGTAACGGTCGCGCTCCGCTCGGGGGGCGGCTGGCTTCGGCGCTACCCCTCGCGCGGGGGACTCTGCAGTCTCGACCGCAGTATCGCCGTTTCCGCGTGGTTCGGCGCGGCGACTCACAGTGGGCCAGAAGACCGGTGGAGGCGGCCAAAACTCTAGACTCGTTTTGAGCTCCAGAGTCGCTAAACAGGACTCGAATCGAACGTGTGACCCCACCAATGGATTGCTCGTTCGGAGAGCAATCCATTGGTGGGGTCACACGTTTGGTTCGAGTCCCATTTAGCGACTCTGGAGCTCAAAACGCGTCTAGAGTTTTGGCCGCCTCCACCGGTCTTCTGGCCCACTGTGCGGCGACTGACTCTCTCCCTCGCGCTCGTGGCACGTCCCGTAGAGATGGACGGCGGAGTCACTCTAGATGGGGCATTGCGGAGCGCGGTACTGCCAGTTACCAGTGTGTCAACGGGTTCGCCTACGGCCGGGCGGTCGACGCTACTGGCTGCGTTGCGCGTACACGGCACGGCACCACACTGTGATTGGCTGTGATGCGCCGGCCAGGGGGCCCAGGCTGGCCCAGACGGGCACAGGCACACAGCTGGCGGGGACGAGTGTACTGGCACGGTCGCTGCTGCGGCCTTGCCACCTGTAGAGGAAGAGCTGCAGACCGATTCCGAGAGTCGTTTTCGTCGCTCTGTCTCACTCGCACCCAAGGGTCGTTCCGTAAGGGCGGGAAAGAGAGAGAGCGATGAGGACGGCCCTCTGCCTGCTGGGCCGTTGGTCCAGGCTGTGCTGTCAGGCGGGCCGGGCAGGCTAGGCGGCACGCGCGGGGGAGTGGCTAGAGTGTAGAGCGGCCCGGATAACCTTTGGATCTTTGATAATGCTTAGTGACTGGCCGAGGCCGAGGGACTCTGTGGGGCTGCCGGGGCGGCTGAGGGAGTCGCCAGGCCCCAGCGGGGCGCGGGGCTGCATGGGACAAGCAGAGAGACAAGCCCCGCCCTCCTGGACGACTGAGTAAACTTATTTTTTTAGCCAGGCCTTAAGGACTTTACAGTTGCTTCTCGCTGAAAAAAATCGGCAGACTAGCCGTAGCCGAGCGACCCAAGCCGAGCGACCCAAGCCGAGCGACCCTAGCTAGTCGAGCGACCCTAGCCAGTCGAAGTCGAGCGACCCTAGCCAGCCGAGCGACCCTAGCTAGTCGAGCGACCCTAGCTAGTCGAGCGACCCTAGCTAGTCGAGCGACCCTAGCTAGTCGAGCGACCCTAGCCAGTCGAGCGACCCTAGCTAGCCGAGCGACCCTAGCCGAGCGACCCTAGCCGAGCGACCCTAGCCGAGCGACCCTAGCCGAGCCAGAATGTTTGCCGCGCCGTTCTCTCCGTTTTATCGCGCGTGGTTCTCGTCTTTAGCCTTATCAGCGCCGTCGCGTTTATTTTGGCAGGCCTTTCCTCGCCGTTGTAGAAGGGCTTTGCGCGGCGACGCGCCGCTCTGCGTATAGCACCGCGTACAGCGCATCGCTTTGGCGTCGCTCTCTCTCTCTCTCTCTCTCTCGCACTCACACGCCCCGCCGGCACGCTGCTCGAGTGCGAGAGAGACAGCGGGCGAGGTATTGAACGGCCGAGGAGCCCGAACACGGAGCAGCTCGAGCAGGCCGTCTGGGTTACGACACAAAGTCCGTCTGTCTGTCTGTCGGTCTTCGTAACGCTCGTTTCGGCTCTGCATATTAATGGGGGCTCCACGAGGACAGACCCGACAAACCCAGCATGTGATCACTGGCATTGGCGCCCGCACGTACACATACAGTACACACACACTACAAAATCCACTGTGTACTTAGTATACATCTATAGGAGTGTACTTGGGCAAGTATACACTTAGAGGAGCGTACTTGGACCGCCTATCCGCTTTCACAAGTATACTCCTTTAGATGTATACTTGCCCAAGTATACTCTTATAGATGTGTACTTGGCAAGTATACTCCTATAAATGTTTACTTGGCAAGTACACTCCTATAGATGTATACTAAGTACACAGTGCACACGCAACTCAGCCAAATAACTTTTTGATATTTTTTTTGTAGTTTTAATTTTTATTATTATCTATTTCCACTTTGTAAAAACAAAAGGGAATAGCCAAAATAAATATTGAGCCCACGTTGCTGTATACAAATACTAGAGTGGCCCCTATACTGCCGGAGAGCCGATGTTGGACCTCGCTCTAAACTCTAAACCGTTTGTCTCTCTGTTTGCAGGCAGCATGAAAATGACGCATGGGATATCGCCGGCCCCGCGGATACATCGGCGAGTCGGCAAGCGACAGTCGTCGGGAAAAAACAGACCAGTACCAGGTTTGTCGGCCATAGGGACCCTGCAGAACTTATTAGGTTTGTTAGTGTCGGGGAGGCGAAGCGGGCGCAATTTTGCGGTGTTGGCGTCGTCGGTTTATTTTTATTTTTAGTTTCCTTCGACGACGTTACGGTCGTCGACAGTATCTCTCAAAGACATCCAATAAATGCCGCCGTCACCGCCGCCGTAAGATTGCGTCTAGTTCCGTCATCGCGCGCAAAAAAAAAATGTTTTCTTACCTTGAGTTTCGTGTGGTCGCGTATACACGGAGGAACGTATTCTGAAGTTTAGCTGTAACTTCGCTTGTGTACGCACGAAGTTGTAGATGTAGACAGCGGACGCGGACCGGGCCGTTTTGGCACTTCCCCGCTACAGCGTCCTGCCTTCGTGTGCTTGCAGAGGAACTCCAGGCCAGCGTCGACCCCTGCGACAACTCGAGCGACTCGGGCCTGGGATTCGACCACCACCTGGACTACCACTTCAATGCGCGCCGGAGCCTCTCGTACCTCGAGCAGGAGGTGAGTGCCTCGCTCGGCCTCGAACCGAACGTGCGACCCCACCAATGGATTGCTCTCCGAACGAGGAATCCATTGGTGGGGTCACTCGCTCGGTTCGAGTCCCATTTAGCGACGCTGGAGCTCAACGCGTCCGGGATTTCGACCGCCTCCACCGGTCCTCTGGCCCACTGTGCACAGTCTCCTACAACCAGGTCTCGCTTTCGCCTGTTGCAGAACTGGTACGAGGAGCATCCCGAGACGAAGCGCAGGCGGGTGGACATCAAGGTTGAGTCGGATGACGCCAACGACTACTGCTTCCCAGAAAACATTATGAGAGTCAAAGGTCCATCGGAGTCTTCCAGGTGAGTAGTGTGGGCAAGGCTCGGGGTATTTCCCGGAACGTCCGGAACGCGGACCGGCGCGGTGTGTGTGGCTCGGAATGAATTGTGTCCAGCGTGGGGTATCGCCAGCTAGCTCTCGGGGCGGGTCGAGGCACGGCAATACCACGCGCGTCAGGGACTCTCATTCCGAGTGAGCACCTTCTCGTCGCCTCGTCTCTCTCGCACTCTTGGGGCGTCGCGTCGGAGAGCGAGAGAGACACGACGGAGCACTGTTAGATGGGAAGCGAGTCCTGCTTCCTCCTGCTTGTGAGAGGCGCCGCTAACGACTGCTCCTTGTCCGTCCGTCCAGGGTGGTCCCCGACCATCTGGGCGCCGTGCTGCGCGAGGGCCTTCGCGAGGGGCTCCGCGAGGGGCTCCGCAGCAACCCTGGCGTGGTGGGGCGGCCGCTGACGCGCGCCGCCAACATCGCGGGCGGGCTCTCCCTCAACGGGCCGCTGCCGCTGGGCCCGCTCACGTCGCTCACGTCGCTGGGGCGGCGCGCGGCCGGCGCCGGCGTGCACCACGGCAGCGGGCTGGCGGCCGGCGGCGTGGTGCCGGTGCTGCCCGGCGGCGTCGTGACCCTCACCACGCAGCTCGGCAACACGAGCCGCGACGGGCGCGTGCAGCTGCAGATGGTGTACCAGCCCGAGACGCAGCACCGCGCGCGCTACCAGACCGAGGGCAGCAGGGGCGCCGTCAAGGACCGCTCTGGCAACGGCTTCCCGGTGGTCAAGGTGAGGCCTCCCCCCATTTCGCTTCGCTTTCCTTGAAGATTGTACCGTCCCGCCGCCCGCGCTCTGTCTCTCTCGCACCCCTACGAGACGCTCCACGAGTGCGAGAGAGACAGAGCGAGAAGCGCGGGCGGCGGAACCGCTCGACGGATTCCACCCACGGAGCGCTTAGCGCCTGCGGGGTCGTGGGTAGGCTAGCCCGCCACACGGACGAGTCCGCAGTGCGCGCGGTTGCCTACCCGCCCCTGCGGCCTCCTGGACGGCCTCCTGGACGGCCTCCTGGACGGCCTCCTGGACGGCCTCCTGGACGGCCTCCTGGACGGCCTCCTGGACGGCCTCCTGGACGGCCTCCTGGACGGCCTCCTGGACGGCCTCCTGGACGGCCTCCTGGACGGCCTCCTGGACGGCCTCCTGGACGGCCTCCTGGACCTTCCCCTCCCCTTCTCACGGTCGCCTTGATCTCTGTTTCAGCTTTCTGGCTACAACAAGGCGGCCACGCTTCAGGTATTTATTGGCACCGATCAGGGACGTGTTGCACCTCACATGTTTTACCAAGCGTGTCGAGTTTGTGGGAAAAACTCAACCCCTTGTGTCGAGAAGAAAGTAGATGGCACTGTCGTAATTGAAGTGGATTTTGAACCGTCTAAGGAAATGACAGTCACGTAGGTTCTTCTACCAGCCTCTCATAAACTAAACTCATGAACTTTTGGTGCAATTGAAGTGATCGATTTTTTTTCCTCTTGCTTGTAGGTGTGACTGCGTTGGAATACTCAAAGAGAGAAACGTCGATGTAGAACACCGATTCCCAGACCAGACTACGAGTCGTAGCAAGAAAAAGTCAACAAGGTGCCGCATGGTGTTCAGAGCAACAATTGTCAACGACGATGGCACCCAAGAAGTTCTACAAGTCACATCACAGCCTATAGTTTGCAGTATGTATAACAACCTCTAGGCTTATGCCAACTGACCCATTGCTCTTCATGTTGCTTATGATTATAATTTTCCTTTCAGCGCAACCTCCAGGCGTCCCTGAAATTTGTAAAAAGTCTCTCACAACAGCACCTTGCACTGGTGGCATGGAACTTTTCATTATTGGCAAGAACTTCCTGAAAGATACTAGAGTCATATTCCAGAAAGAAGATGAAGACTTTTGTTGGAAAGAAGTTGTCATACCAGACAAGGAATACCTGCAACAGGTGCAGTCTATATCTTTATTTTTTGTATTTAACAGGTCTGAAAAATGCTGAACACGATTAACAAAGGACTTTGTATTGCAGACTCATCTTGTTTGCACAGTACCAGCATTGCGCTGCCCAAGTGGTAATTTAACAGAACCAGTGAACGTGCGCCTATTGGTGGAGTCCGGTGGTAAGGCGAGTGAGGCGCACACCTTTCTTTACACATCTGCTGCAATGCCTGCTACTCCTGCAATGCAAGGTATGTTCCTCTCCAAGTCACAATGCTAAACAGCTTGGGTCACATATACTGCCTCCTACACTCCAGATCTTAGTGACAGTTATGTCATTTCTTGAAATCTTATCAAGCTCCTGCTAGAAAAAATTGATACAAGCCGGGCTTTTTCAAGTGGTTCAACAAAGTACTAATTTACTGTCAACAATTCTCATACTAAAAACGAGGAAAAACTTCTATCAGGATTTTTTCCTCAAAAGTGCGAACAGCATTTGTTTTATAGATGCTCCAGTTTCTGTGATTAATATTAATCATCCTAGTTCTACACAAAACAGACCCTCCTTTTGGACTTCAAAAATTCTACCATCTTTTTGTATAATGGAGTGCAGTGTGACCCGTAGCTGGGTGTGTCAGTGGTTGAGTAAATCAGGAGGAGAGTGAGACAGCAGAGAGTGAAGACCACAATTCAACAACAATCAATTACATTCCAACATTAATTCTTCCCTTTAAAAAAATTGTGGAAAAAATAAAATTTTAATTTGTGGATCTTTGTTCTGTGCTGTCTTTTGGAAAGCCAACCAGCAGTCACTTTCTGTGGTTATCTTTTGTCGTGGCCTTTAAAAAAATGAGTGAAAGAGAAGGTGGATCTTATTTGGCTCTTCTATCTATGAAGTATCCTGCAAAAGTGACTGGTCGCTGGCTTTCTTTAAAATATTCATACATTTCTCTTATCTTAAATGTGGCAAATGTCAATGAATGAGTGAGGTGCATGTGAGTGAAAGGGATTTTGGCAAAGGATATATTGAATTTCAGAAATATGTTCTCTGAAAACATTTTATGGCAGTCGTTGTAACAATTGCTGCTTACAAAATGGTAAATGAGTTCTAAGAAATATTCTTTGATAAGAATGAATATGTGCACGCATGTGTGTGAGGGAGGGAGAAACAGAGAGTGTGAGAGTGTGTGCGTGCGTGTATGTTAGTGTGTGTATGCGTGCGTGCAGAGTGAAGCGTAGAATGAGACTGGGAAGCTTGTGAGAGGTAGTCATCATTCATAGTCATTCAATATGTGTGTGCATCAGTGAATGTGAGTTAGAGTGTGTATGAGTGTTGGTGAGTGTGGGTGAGCGTGTATGTGCTTATATATGTGGATGAAAGTAAAAGAACTTTGTAGACTAAAATGTCAGTGAGATGTATCCCAATCAAAAGACGCTCCATAGTTTCATTTGGAAAGAGGAACATAAAAACAAGGAAACAATCAGAACTAGCATTTAAAAGTTTTAAATTCATTTGTTTTGTAAAAAGAACATGGTTTGTTAGGAAGTTACTTGGGTAGCTTGTCCCAGAGATAGATGGTGCTTAGTGTGCTGAATGAATCCTGTAACACATTTGCCACATTTTTTGTGAGCTTATGGAGCACAGAGACCTATTTCTTTATTCATTCACTTGTAGCTGCCTCAACTGTTCAGTAATTTTCTTTCCATTCAATTTCCTATAAATTTATTTTTATCGTACTTTTTTGATAACGACTAATGAGTGCCTTAAATAGTTGAAAAAAAAAGAAGCAGAAAATGCTTTTGATCTGACTTGTACCTGTGCTCCATAGCAATAATTGTAAGCTGGCAGAAGCACAACATTGAGTTACATTGTAAAGTTGTTACCTAATTTTCAAATATCTGCAACTTTTATTTATATAAAAAGGCGGCTATTAATTCAAATTTTCTCATTACTTTTTTGCAAAAGCATAGTAACTGTCAATACTGCATTTAGTTTGATCATGTAACATTTTCAGAAGATTTTTTAGTCTGTAGTTTTGTAAAGTCTTGAAAGTATTTGTCCTTACTTTCAAATTTAGCATAAACCATAGCCACTGTGTGGATCTAAAAAAAAAAAGGCCTACAGTGTTTAAAAAAATGTAGAGTATTCCACTTCTGCCAGACTTATGCAGTGTCTTTTTTTGAGGGTTTTTTCTATGCTGCTGACTCTGTGTTGCTTGTTCCTTCGTCCACAGCTACAGGTTTACAGGTTGCAGTTTGGTGCGGGGCCCGAGAGAGTCGGTGGGGGTAGCCTAGCCCCATGCTAGCCATGCTAGCCCTACCCAGAGCGCGACCGCGTGTGCGTCTGGCAGGTTCTGTCATCGCCCAGAGTGGCTATCATTGATATTCACATTATCTTACACATCACTCTCATTAGATCTCATGTTTGCGCAGGGCATAGTTAGACTCATAAGCATGCTTTAGTTTGTACAGTAAAGCTTGTTTTCATGATTAGATGGTGGCTGTGATAAGTAAATTGTTTGTGGGGTATCTTGGGCTCCAACAAAGTATATTGTATCTATTATTGTCTTTGTGTCAGAAATTTTTGTTTTCAATTTTATTGGGTAGTTGAGGGAGTAGCTTCTCCTTTGCTTGTGATAGACTCTAGTGTTAATGTGGGTATCTGGTTTAGTCAATTTCTTTGGGCACTCACTTTTCTGTCATCATCTCTTCTGAAAATATTAGTTATTAAGAAATTGACACTAGCTCAGATGAAGGTTGAAGGTAAGTACCTTTATGTGAAAAGTTCATTGCTATGCCAAGCCTTTCATGTCCCATTTTAGAATTTCCATTTTACCCTGTAACTGACAAAATTAACTAGATTTTTAAAATCTTCTTTTTTTAAATTATGGTGTTTTTGTAAATTTTGTGAAACCTCCTTCAGTTGTTTAGTTTTTCCACCCTCATAAAACATACCATTGAAATCTTTTTTTTTTTTTCCTTTCAAAATCATAAGAACATCCATTATTTTTTTTTTCTAAATGCACATATTTCATTGTGTAATAATATTGAGGATTGACTGTCGTGTTGGGTGTTTATGTGGTTTGTTTGCTTTCAGCATTTGCAGTGTTGCAGCCAGAAGACTTCATCGGACTTTGATACTTTCAGGTGCTGCGGGTCACAGTTTCCCTAAGCCTTTTAACTCACAGTGCTTTTGTATACTTGGTGCCAATGTGTACTTAGATTTAACAGCACAACCCATATAAAAATCCCTTGAGAGTATTGGTTCAACAGAATTCCGAGTACTGTGGTGTTGCTACAACATTGTCTGGTGGATCTTAGCACCCCATGTGATGCATGAAGCCTGCTTTTTCAGAACTAGTTTGGCAAGGGGCTTACTTGGTATCTGTTGAAACCACATGCTCAAGGGCTCTTGGTCAAAGGAACTGGGATTGATTGCTAAATCTTTTGCACTTGGTCTTCACTTGTGTGAGAATGTATCTGTGAAGATGGATCTGTGTGAATGGTGACTTTTTAATGATAATGAATGACTGTACATTTGAATTTTTATTTGTTTTCACAACCCAAAAGTGGATTATCTCATTAAATAAAAAGGAGTGTGACAGACTGTTTGAAAGAATGTGTGATAGTGAACGAATGAGTGGTGATCTATGTGGCACAAGCACTGTGAGCTATGCCTTCAAAACATGCTATAGAATATATGTTTTAATTTTATTTATGTTCAATTGAACAATTTAAATTTGGTCAAAAACAAAAAAGTAAAAATTGATATGGCTTGTTTTGATGGCATGTACCACTTTTATTTCAGCATAAGAGCTGCCCTATGTTGTCATGATTATTTAGAACACTTTGTTTATCACACTTGTTTACAACTACGTACTTTTTGCTCACAGTGGGTTCGTCCGATGTATCAAAATGCTGCTCAGCTTCATCGGAAACTGGTATTCCTCCAGGTAATTTTTCTTTTCTTTTCTTAATCTTAATCTTCCTAACTGAATGCCATTCGTGTTCACAGCTATGAATAAATGATGGTATTTTGTTGCAGTGTTAGAACTCAATCGCAGCTACTCAAGTTCCAGCCTCCTGGTCTCAGGCAATGTGCCCCCACCAGTTGCAGTGGCTGGTCCAGGCTCATCTCTTATGATGCCCTTTGCACCTGTCAGTGGTAAGTCAAGATCATTGTCCAGTTCTTGGATTTATTTTATTCAATAAATTTATCTGACCAATTTTCTTGTTCTTGTGATTTTTGAAGGTACAAGTCCTGTCAAGGAGGATGTGCACCCTTCGATGCTGTGGCCCTCAGGTCAGGTGCTGAAAGAGGAGAAGGCAAAGGAGCTCATGCCGCCTCCGATCTCCATGGCTCCCACCAGAAGACCATCTCTCATAATACCCGACCCACTGCCCGCTCTGAAGACAGAAGTCATGGACGAGCCGATAATGACATCCATGTCCAACCCAGTAATGCCACCTTCTGTTCTTCCATCGAGTATGCCGCCCCCACCTGCGCCTTCAGCTGAACATCTACATGGAGTCGACTTGCGCATGAACTCAATGAAGAGTCCTTCGATGGCTACTATTCAGCAGTTCATGAGACCTTCCGAAGCTAATGGCTGCTTACCAACTCAAAGTGGACAAAGTGTGGAAAGTTTCCTCAACCGCCTTGAGTCTGATAAAGTGGCACTCGAACAGCAAAGACAACAGATTCAACAGCAACAGTCACCTCCACGACAATCGCCACAGCAGCAAGAGCAGTCCCCTCAGCAGCGATCACCATTAGATTCACACAAGTCCCCTGAACTTCAGCCAACACATCAAGAACAGGGAATTTCGATGTCATTGCAAGTGCAGTCCATGATGGAATCACCTCAGGCAGAGCCTTTTATGAATCCTCCGCCCCATCCTGCTCCAGGGCCAATCGTCCCTCAGATGGACAACATGCTCCTGTATCCACCCCCTGTAACCACTCAAGATATGTATGTAGCAAGGCCCTCTGCTCCGTTGAGTACAACATCATATCTACCACCTAACTGCAATACCTCGCCTATAGCGCAGAAGTCCATTCTCAACTCCGAATCTCCACCGCAATTTTCATCGGATGCTGCTCTACATGACGATAACAGCAACCACACCACTGAGCTGAAGCCGTCCCCCCACCAGCATTTTGCAGGCCTCTCTAACCCACAACTGAGCCATATGATGCACAGTGAGCAAGCCAGTCGGTCTCAGCAGATGGGTCATTTGATGCATGACGAAAGTAGCAACCACGCACAAATTGCTCAAATTTTACATGATGAGGCGAGCAAGGAGGCAACGCAGTTAAGTCAGAGCATGCACGATGAGCGAAGCAACCATGCTGTTGATGTGAAAGTATCAGCTACTCAGCAAATGGCGTGTTTCCTTCACGATGAGAGGAGTAACCATGCCATGGAAGTGAAGACAACAGCGGTGCAACATTTGGCTGAAATGCTTCAAGACAGTCAAAGTAATCACGCCCTGGATGTGCAAACATCAACAGCCCAACAGTTTGCGCACATGCTGCAGAGTGATCATAGTAATCATTCAAGAGACGTGAAGACATCTTGTCAGTCATTTGGTCAAATGTTGCATGATGAGAGCAGCAGCCACACAATGGATGGCAAGCCACCGTCATCACAAAGTATGGCTCAGATGATGGCTAATGATAGCCGAAATAATGCCACTCAGCAACTTGCTCAAATGCTGCATGATGAAGTCAGCAATCACGCTGTTGATGTGAAGACGACGACTGCTCAGCAGCTTGCTCAAATTTTACATAATGAAGCAAGCAATGCTGCCTTGATGGTACAAGAGGAACAGCACAACAAGGGTCCTTCCCACTTATCCTTTTCGCACTTTCTCCGAGGACAGCACTCCACGATGGAAATGAACGCTGGGCAGCAAGGCTTTGCGCCGATCCAGCAGGGAAACCCTAGCCAGTCACCTGAAATGAAAACGTACTGTAACACTGCCTCTGCTGCCCCTCTCCTCAACATCAGCAATACGCAGGTCTCAAGTCTACTGACCGACTCCTCATTGGTGATAACTCAGGCACCTTCGAGTGAGGCAATGCAAGTGAACTGCATTACAACACCAAGCTCCTACAACAAACCAGTTTACAATGAATCAGGAGCAGACATGCAAGTCACGCAAGCTCAAGTTCAAGCCCAAGTACAAGCAGTTCAGGCAGCTCAGGTTCAAGCGCAAGCACAAGCACAGATGCAAGCCCAGATCCAAGCCCAAGTACAGGCTGAAGTGCAAGCGCAAGTTGAAGCCCAAGCCCAGGTGCAAATGCACGCACAGGCTCAAGTACAAATGCAGGTTGAATCGCAAGTACAAACGGATCCTCACTCTCAGGCTCAATCGAGCTCGCATCAAATAGGTTTTGTTGCTGTGACTACAAGTGCTGGTATGATGGACTTTCCAATCCTCACAAAAACGCTGGCCAGCGGAAAAATGTTTGCCACAGAGGTTCAGCAGCAGCAGCAAAGTACTCAACAAAATCAGACAACTACCAAACCATCTGGGGACTTCCCAGAATATTTTGACATGTTTCAAAGCCAGTAAACTGTAAGCAAGCATTTCAAATTTCTCACAAGTGGATCTCAGTAACATTATTATGACTTATAAAGAAATTATGGTCTGCTACTGGACCACTTACCTGTTCTTTTAAAATTCTCTTTGAGTAGATCTCACAAACAATGACATGTATGTCTGTGATTGCATGAAAAAGACTTTGTGTAAATGCGAGCTTATATTGTACTTTGTTTCTTTGGATTTTACCATGAACAGAGCTTGCTTTTAAAAAAAAATGTTTTTATGTAATGACGCAGTTTACTTGATGTTTATGTAATGATTCATATATTGTAAATAGAGCAAAATGTATTCAGTCTGTAAATTTGTGTACAAACGTAGTGTTCAGATATAGATTTTTTTATCATGTGATATTAGATATTGGATGTATTTGAATTCTATTATGTTCTTGCTGTTGCAGATGCGCTCAATATCTTGTATATAATAGTTCGACAAATTATATTATTTCTAAAGACATGTTAGTTGTCAGATATTTATGTTTTCGCAAAGAGTTTGCTATTATTCTGAAACTTATTGTGTGTTATTTATGAAATATATACATAAATATGCTGTTTTCAGTGTCTGGTCATTTCACATATCCATCCCAGGACCCCTAAAAAAGTAAATACATAAACAGAGCAAAGAAAGAAACTAATTTCCAATGTCGATGCAATTGGAACAGGCGTTGAACCCTGCTCACTCGGACGCCTATAGCGCCTGCGAGGTAGGCCACTGATTCGTCCCGCAGCACACCGGTGTGGAGACGGTGGCCTACCTCGCCCCTGTGAAGACGACAGGGGCGAGGTAGGCCACCGTATTCACACAGGTGTGTTGTGGGATGGCTCGGTGGCCTACCTCGCAGGCGCTGTAGGCCCCAGACCGAGCGGGGCACAGTGGGCCAGAAGACCAGTGGAGGCGGCCAAAACTCTAGACGCGTTTTGAGCTCCAGAGTCGCTAAGCAGGACTCGAACCGAACGTGTGACCCCACCAATGGATTCCTCGTTCGGAGAGCAATCCATTGGTGGGGTCACACGTTCGGTTTGAGGCCCATTTAGCGACTCTGGGGCTCTGGAGTTTTGGCCGCCTCCACCGGTCTTCTGGCCCACTGTGCGAGCGGACGCCCCTGTGCGTTGGGTTGCCCGCCGACCCGGCGCCAAGCGCGAAGCTCGAGGCTCGCGGCCCCTGGCGAGGCTATGCAGACTGGGCTCGCAGCTCGCGGTGAGACCGAGACCACCGAGACGCGCGGTCGGGCCACGAGGGGCGCTTCCGTCGTGCCGCCGCCAAGCCATTCGGAACAGCGCCTCGTCGCTCTGTCTCTCTCGCACGGCCACGGGGCGGCCCACGAGTGCGAGAGAGACGAGAGGCCGCGCCTCAAGACGGCGGCGCTTGGCGGCGTCCGCGGCGCGACACTCTTCCTCCGCTTCCTCCTCGTTCCCCTGCCCTCCCCGCCCCTGGCCGGGCCGGGACGGGGCGGGGCGCACGGGGCACGGGGCGCCCGCAGGCCGCAGGCCCAGCCGCAACGTGCGAAGTAGAAGTAGACGACGGTGCTGTGCGCCGACATCTTGCTCACCGTCGGATCCCTCAGTCCCCCAGTCCCCCAGTTTGCAGTGCGGCACGTCAAGCACCGTCGGGAAGCACCGTCGCGACACGAAGGGCGGCCGCGCCGAAAGAGCGAAGCGAACCGCAGCGACCACTTCGGGGCACCGAGCGTGAGCGTGCCAGTGTGCGTGACCGAGCGTGAGGGCGAGCGTTTGCGCCCAGAGTGACACGGCGACGGAGCGGCACAGCCATGGCCAGCGACGACGGCGTCCTTCGGGAGGAAGCGCAGGTGAGTGTCGTGGTGGACACCCTTCCCGTCGTCCTCGTCGCCCTCGTCGTCCTCGGCGAGCGAGAGGTCACAGAGGGCCGCAGGGCTGCAGGCTGACGAGCACGTCGAGAAAGTCTCTCCCCGATCAGCTGGTCGGGCACAGCATCCTGCATCCCCGCGGCCCGACTGCCTGACCTTTGAGTTGTAAATGGACTTATTTCGGTCAAGGTCCTTGGAAGGGCCAGCCAGCTGCGGCGGCTGCGACCAGCCGGGGGTAGCCAGCGCCAAGTCCCGCCCAATCAGCGGTGTGATTCACTTTCGTAAGACAGCCCCGAGGGTGCGAGTTCAAATACCCGAAGAGATTTGTTCTGCGAAGCCGCGCGCCGCGCTCGCACGCTGCCAGGCCGTCTGCCGAACTCTGTACTCGCGCGTCTACAGTGTGTACACTTTGGACCCGCCGGGACTCGAACCCGCGACCGTGAAGGCCTCCGCCGCGAGGCGCCAAAACGTATTTGGTTTTGTCGGGCGAGACCGCGGCGCGATGGCGGCGGAGGAAGCTGGATCTTTCCGTCGCCACGCCGACGGGGCGGCCAGGCGACACACCCCTGGAGGAAGGCGCCCGCCCGATCCACTGCTAATCCGCTGCGGGAGGCTCCCAACACTGCTTCGCTAATTACGATACGCGACACTCTAAAAAAAAACACCCAACAAATTTTGCCTCTGGCTACCGTACAGTGATGTGCACGGGACCAATGAAACACTTGGAACATTTCTCGTTCAGTTCAACGTCCAGCGCGCTTTTGCCGACCCCTTTCGGACTGTTTCCAAAATTTAGGCTATATCAAGTTAGGGAAATTCACAGTTCACAATTCACAGTTCACAGATAGGGTGAGGGGTGAGGCGGGGAGTCTTCACAATTCACAGCTCCCCGCCTCACCCCTCACCCTATCTGTGAACTGTGAATTGTGAATTTCCTTAACTTGATGTTGCATGCCAGACGACGTCCATCATCGGTAATCCGTGGTCCGTGCAATCGGTACTTATAGTCGTGTGTTGTTGTTTTTTTTTTTGTGGGTTTGTTTTTGCTGACTCAAGTGGAGTGCAGACGTATGCCGGTCGAATCTACGTGCGAGGTGGTCGATAGTGTGGGACTTGGCCGATCCCAGACAGACTAGTGATTGAATAGAGTTTAGCGGTTTCCCTTAATTTATGGCCATTCCTAGGGAAAAACCGAAACACGACCCCCGAATCCGAACTAAAATTAGAATCGCACGAGTTGTCAACGAGATGGCTAGTAAATAGGGTATTTCGGAGCAGCCCTGGCCCGGAAGAAGAAGAACAAAAACGTAAGTTAGAAATGGCAGTTTCTATGAGAAATATACGCTGCGGATCCTCATCTGCAGCTTATATTTCTCATAGAAACTGCCATTTCTAACTTCCGTTTTTGTTCTTCTTCTTCCGGGCCAGGGCTGCTCCGAAGTATCCTATTGACGCTGTTCGAACGTCTGTGATTGGATTTCCATTTCGTCTCCCGCTTTCCGGCCGCGTCGCGTCGCTCATCGGCCATGCGCTCGGCCTGACACTCGGCCTGACACCAGCCGACGTCAGAAAGCCAGAAAGTCAGTCCCCTTTATCGGCGCGCGTGGCTGATCCCTCCCTGCACCAGGAAGCTGGTTATCAGGCATTGCCGCAACGGGCTGAAATGCGTCTCGCCGAAAATAAATACATGTCCCGTACCGCCAAGGGACTGCAGCGCGAGTAGGCGCTCACGCACAGTGGGCCAGAAGACCGGTGGAGGCGGTCAAGCTCCCGGACGCGTTTTGAGCTCCAGAGTCGCTAATCGGGACTCGAACCGAACGTGTGACCCCACCAATGGATCGCTCTCCGAACGAGGAATCCATTGGTTGGGTCACACGTTCGGTTCGAGTCCCGATTAGCGACTCTGGAGCTCAAAACGCGTCTGGAGTTTTGGCCGCCGGCGCCGGTCTTCTGGCCCACTGTGCGCTGCGAGCCGATCCATCTCGCCAAGGCCGCACGGGGATGCTAAATTGTAAATGCACGCGGACGTCACGACGACACTGTAAGGGGAGGGGGAGGGGGGGGTTCGCGTGGGTCAGGATGCTATCGTCGTGGAGCTGCCCAGCAGATAAAGACCCCGTTGCGACAGTCAGCAGTCCTTCCGAGCGGAGCAGCGATAAGTGGACGGTCGATCGGGACGCGAGTCGAACAGTCGAGCGAGCAGTCGACGCTCTGTCTCTCTCGCGCCTATCCGGGACGCCCCATGAGTGCGAGAGTACGACAGCCGCTGGTTCCAGGCGGATGCCTGGGGATGGCTGGATCCCAAACAGTGCTGTGTTGCTGAGACGCGTCCAGAGTTTTGTCCGCCTCCACCGGTCTTCTGGCCCACTGTGCGGCGGTGCGGTGCGTGCGAGGTTGCGTGCGCCCCCTGCCCACCCCTCGTACGAAGCCCTCTGTGGAGTGATAGAGACTTTTGAACGCAGGTTGCGGGCCTATTTATACCTGGGAATGTTGAACGCCGGCCGAGTGCCAGGGCCAGGCCAGGACGGGGAAGGAAGGGAAAAGGGGGGGGGGGAGGTACCGCACATGTTGCTAGCTGTCGATCAGCGCCGTCGCGGCGACGACGACCACCTGACGGACTCCCTGCAGCCTGCTTCGTCGCTCTGTCTCTCTCGCACTCAGGCGGCTCTCCCAGTGGGTGCGAGAGAGACAGAGCGACGAGGAGGACTCTCGGATTCGGTCCGCAGGCCGCCGATCGACCCAGTTTGGACAACATCGGTCCGCTTCCGGCGAGGGGAAGGAGGGCCGGGCTGCCAATCAAATTAAGTCGTCGATTTGGACGACACTGTTAAAAAGAAGTCTGAAAATCCAGACCCATTTTTCCCAACCCTTTGTCGGACTCGAGTCTGTTTTGTCGGGACCCTCCGTCACCCCGTGTCGCGTCGTGTCAGCCGAAAGATCGGCCCGAGTCGTGTCGAAGAGGGCATCGTCGGGATGAATGCGTGGTAATCAGAATCTCTGCGCTGGTAATAATAAAACAGCTGATAAGGACGACCACGCATCGTGTTTGGTTACATCACGGGACTTTCTCGCCTCAAAGCCTCAAAAACACAAGCATCACAGATAAGGGGGCGTCGCGTCAACAAGAAGCACAAGAAGCGCCCTCGGTCGAATCAAAATCAAGCCGAAATCAAATGCTACATTGGGGATTCGGGGCTTTTTGTCGGCGGGCAGTGTGTGTTCCCGCTGCTCGGTCCAGCGGGGCGCCGCCGAGGGCCGCGAGGGAATGCCCAGTCGGAGGCAGCCTTCTGGGGGGCAAAGTCCGCGGCGCCGCGTGGCCGCGTCCGCCAGGAAAATTCCGCGCCCAGGGCCAATGGGCCAGCGGCCCGAAGGGCGGGGTCGGCAGGGTGAGGGCCTTGACCAGAACCGTGACCGCGGCGCACAGTGGGCCAGAAGACCGGTGGAGGCGGCCAAAACTCTAAACGCGTTTTGAGCTCCAGAGTCGCTAAATAGGCCTCGAACCGAACGTGTGACCCCACCAATGGATTCCTCGTTCGGAGAGCAATCCATTGGTGGGGTCACACGTTCGGTTCGAGTCCTGTTTAGCGACTCTGGAGCTCTAAACGCGTCTAGAGTTTTGGCCGCCTCCACTGGTCTTCTGGCCCACTGTGCGGCGGCCTCCTGGAGAGCCTGGAGGGCCTGGAACATATAGAAGTGGTGGATACTCGTCGACGGGATCCTGGTCCTGGCGGTCCTGGCGGCCCTCGTGGTGTGCGCCTTGGACAGCAGCGACAGCCGCAGCGCTTGCCCAATTCAAAGGTGAACGGGTTGACGCGACGCCGCTCCCTGCCCCGCCCCGCCCCGCCCCGCCCCGCCCCGCCTGCCCGCCCCGCCCCGCCACATCGCGACGCCGCGCCGGCCGCACTACTGTACGTCGCGACGCTTTAAATTAACAGCTTGTTGTAACAACGACCATCGATTCGGACCGCCACCGGCCACGCTAACGCCAACGGCGCAGTAACTTATCACGAAAGGTGCGTCTTGGCGTTATTTTAGGCACCCGGCGACTTTCGAGTCATTCATGAAACGATCAGTTTATTTTTCTTTGCTTCTGGACTTTTCTGTAGAGGTGTTCGGAACGATTTTTGACAATGCCCAATCTTGACGTTATTGCTAACCTACTCTTATGTGACGGTATTTAACCCAGCCAGGTTCGTACTGTTGTGATAAGTTTAAGTGCCCTGGCAGTGGGCCGGCAGTTCAAGGCGGAGGCAGTGCACCGCCAAGCAAGGTGCCGCACTGCCGCACCCTCCACCAAACCTCAATGACTGCGAGCCCCGAAGGTTGGCGACAGTGGGGCGACACACAGTGGGACCGGTGGAGGCGGCCAAAACTCTAGACGCGTTTTGAGCTCCAAAGTCTCTAAATGGGACTCGAATCGAACTTGTGACCACACCAATGGATTGCTCTCCGAACGAGGAACCCATTGATGGGGTCACACGTTCGGTTTGAGTCCTGTTTAGCGACTCTGAAGCTCAAAACGCGTCTAGAGTTTTGGCCGCCTCCACCGGTCTTCTGGCCCACTGTGCGACACTGGCACGCCCCCTTCGGCGCCATTATTCACCGCGTCTGCGAAGGACGGCGCGAGAGGGCGCTGCGTGGAGGGCTGTAGGGTCTTGAGACAAAGACGTCGCCCGGCCGGCAGCCCCACGGCCGCGCTCGGGGAAGGCCATGCAGGTCTAGACGGCGAACGCGGCGCACGTCCCCCACATCATCGTGTCGCACTAAAAATACGAAATACGGCCCGCCAAGAATCAGTCGGCAGTCGGTCGCGAAGCGCGAAGCTGGCTCGGCGGCGTTCGGCGCGGCCGAAGGAGAACCAAAGGCACCGCGACGACGCCGAGGCGCCGGGCGGACCACGTACCCACCGGTCTATCTCGGTCTGAAGCTGAGCAAGCTGAGGCAGCGGAGGGAACACAACCAGCCTTGCGTCATTTCGTCCT